TTGCCCTCATTATCTGTCTGATCTTCTACACATCACCACTCACATTCCCTTCATTGCAACAAATTGTAAAATTTATTACAACCACTTAAAACTTAATTTTACAGTATTAACATTAAAGACTACCAAGACTAAATATTATTAAAAAAAGGATCATATTTATTCTACTAAACATATGTACTAAAGGAGACATTAATCAAACCTTCCTTAGAACAAAGTAAAATGATACAGAATAAATTTTAGTTCAGTTGGCTTTCAAAAAAGACTTTTGCAATAATAATAAATAAAAGCAAAGTTGGCATTTAAAAACCAGACACTTCTTAAAAATATAATCTGTGAACCTTGACATGCACAAAATGGGGAGAACAAAAAAAAAAAATACTTTGTTTACATTGGACAACCAACCGATCTGATTGGCTGAGGTTTCTTGAAGGTCTCACACTATTGGCTGTAAAACAGACTCTTTGAAAAACACATTCATGCTTTTTTAGTTTCAACTGTTTCAATCCTTCAGTTTTTACATTTTTAGCAGCACTTTTATCAGTGTTTATGACATATTGCTGAATGTGAGTTACATATTACATGAACGGAGATCTTTGCTGCCCAAATAAGAGTTCAGTATCGCTGTTTAGGAGTCAGACTCTCTAGAGCTGAAATCTTTCATCACTAGTGAATAACTGATCATTATTTATACACTAAACTCTCATCTTGTGTCCTCAGTTTCCCAGCATGCACTGGGTGGAGTGGTGGAGGTTAATGAGGGGGCGGAGTCTGTCCTGCTGCCCTGCATTTACTCTGGTGTAATACTTGAAGACCCGTTCCTCATCTGGACTCGCAGTGATCTCAGTCCTAACTCCGTCCACCTACGGAGAGAAAACGGTGACGATCTTAAAAACCAGAACCAGCGTTTCAGAGGACGGACCTCCATGAATCCTGACGCTCTGGATACTGGAAACTTCAGCCTGACTCTGAGGAAACCTGAGCAGGGTGATGGAGGAAACTACAGCTGCAGCATCTCTGATGGAAGAGAAGAACGGAACCTGAAACACATTCATCTGAAGGTCAAAGGTCAGACAAACAAGCAGCACACCCTATTTTAAAGTTTTATGCTATGAATGAATTTGATGAAATGAGAAAATTAATAATTGTTCATAGTTTCTGTAACCATGGAGACCAGGCCTAAAATAACTCAGAATAACCAATGAATGGATGAATGGATTATTTCTATAATGAAATTATTTCTACAATCATTTTGCTCTAGAATTAAATAATTCATTCATTATAGAAATTACTGAAGCATTTTTATAATCTGAGTTACTATGGAAACAAATTTACTTCCTATAAACTTGTTAATCCATAACAACATGGTTTCATTAACATTTTATATTTCATGTTTCTTTAGGTCTCCATAATTGACCTCAGTTACTATTTTAGTCTTTTATTAACAGTAAAGCAGTCAGCTCTTTAATGACTGCAGTTGTATTGAAACACATTAATGTAAATTCTGATTTTATGTTGATTATTAAAGACATTATTTTTATCCTGCAGACAGAAACTGAATAATGACATCAATCCAGAATAATGATCCAAACTGTTTCTGCTCATTTTGTTCTTTATTTCCTCTCAGTTGGTCAGCAGGAGGTCGACGTAACTGAAGAGTCAGATTCTGTCATCCTGCCCTGCAGAACATCATCCTTCCTTCCTGAGGACACGTCAGTGGAGTGGACCCGGCCAGAACCTCGTTCCATGTTCATTTATGTGTTTCCCAACACGAGTAAACACTATGCCCAGCAGGACAGACTTTACAGCTGTCGCACAGAGATGAACAGAGACTTCCTGAGGACCGGAGACGTCAGCCTGACCCTCATGTATCCCACACACAGAGACGATGGACGCTACGTCTGCACCGTCCACAGAG